CTTCAACCGTTAGACCATTGTACCACGTCCGGTGTGAAAAACCTTCGTAACTTTGTTCGGCAGCATCGTTTAGCAGATTGTGGAAAATAGATTTCGGAATCAGCGAAGGGGAGACGCATCAGGTGATATACATCTTATTTTAAACGGCCACTTCGACCTACCATCCTTCCCTTGTAAGTTGTTGAAAGTTAAATCTCAAGATAGGATGCATTTAGTCTATTCGCCATCAACTTTCCACAATACTACGAGAAGCCTCATTAGCTGACTTCTTCAAATTAATCTTTACTAGCAGAAGAAATGGATATCAAGTGGTAATTCTGAGAGCACCACTTCCATTGTGTCCACACAGTAAGTAAAATACAAACAGTCGCAGGGATCCTTATATTTTGCAGATTAATGCCGCATTTATCAAATATGATAGCTCCAAGTGAAATTTTAACTTGTTAAGCTTCACTCAATATCACTGAATGCTGTTGACCAGGATTAAGTGCACCAACCAATAACATTAGACAAGATCAGAAATAACGACATTTCATAGGGTTGTCTAATAGGTCTATCGGTTTTTTTTGTAAAAATCTTCTAATGAAATAAATGTTATTACATCAATTCGTATACCACTCGGGAGAGAGTTATCTGTTTCACAAGATGGTTCATACAGCCTCCACATTTATTGCAAAAAAAACAGGCCTTCGAAATGGAAGGTCCACTTAGTGGGAACTAGCGGTACCGACAAGTAGCTCTGACTTTTTTCTATTAAAAAACAAGCAATGATGTACCCTTTACTTAGACACAAACTCTCTCAACACCCCATATTAACTGATTGGAAAAGGCTTACCCCGTTTTCGAATTTTTCTGGTTGACCGCTAAGCCGCAACGGTTTTTGAATTAAATTTTTCCCAAGTACATCATTTTACCTCAAGTAATACATCGGTCACGAGCTTTCTTCTGCTCTATTCGTTGATATGTTTTGTTTGTATTCTCTATTAATGAAGTTCGAATTTTAGGCCTATGCGATGAATGTTGAGGCCACGAGAATGATCGCATTATTAAAAAAAACCCTAGAAATCTATCAAGCATGCATTCAAAACTTAGTCACACCCTTGTTCGTAACACTTCAGAAAATTTTCAACGCTTCGGCTGTAAAAAGTTTTGGGTCGATGTTTCACGAGATAGGACTCAACAATCGAATTTTGGCAGAAAACCGAACAACAACACGACTTATTGGAGAGCTTAATGGCGCGATTCCAGAAGAGGATCCATCATTAATCAATTTTTTCCTGAAGGAAAACAAGGTTAGAGCTACCTCCGGTTCGGCTCATTTTCTCCCATTGGACCTTCCATTTCGCAACGCCAAGGAATGAGGCTATCACAGCATTTGTGGAACATGAAATCTCTTATGGAGTCTATGTGAAGTCTATGTGATTGTAATGTAAAAAAGATGGGATTTCAGCAGAATTTTTTTGGTTTGAAAAAAAAGCTATTACGAAACAACCTAATATTGTAGTCAAATCAAAATAACAAAGACACGTACGCATTTCTTCTTCTATAGCAGACATTCAAATCATTCAAGAAAACACATGTAGGAAACTTTAAGGGATGCAGAAACTTGATTTACCTGCTCAAAATTCAGTGGTGTCATCGGAACAGCTAGATTTGGGCCAACAGAACCAGGGTTCATGTCCTGAAAAATTACTTAAATACTTTGCAAGAGAAACGGGTTTTACTGTAACCTTCTATGCATCAAATCAAAGTTTCATCAGAAAGAAATCACCATAATAATTGGCACTAAAATGGTGCAACCTTGAAACTTCAAGTTGCATTGATTCAATTCGCTTTTTAAAGACAATGCCAAGCGCACACAAATTAGAAAACTTGAAAAAATTGAACGATTTTCGCAAGGCCATCAATATTGTACAATAAGAAGCGTACCTGAAACACAGATCCAGGGTTACCGCCGACGTTCACGACCGATGACGGATTGATATTTAGGTTCATATTGCTTCCACGGTCCACTGATGAGAAACCTACCATGGAACCAGGACCCTGATTACTGTGCATCATACCTAAACGGTATAAGTACGATGGAGTGATGAAACAAGTGATCAAGGGTTGTGTTACACTTGGAGACTGGTTTTGTAAGGGTTTCCGAACATTTTTGGAAAATTTTGTCCCTCCATTTTGAAACATGTTGCGCGCGAATGCGCCGAAGCGCTCTATAAAACAAATGGCAAATAAAAGGGCAATGTTGAGAAATTCTGTTTACAGCTAAACGGTACTTCACTTCGTCATTGGCGGAAAGTTGATTTAACTATATCACAAAGCGACCGACACGCTTATTGATGCCTTCTTCTTCCCTCTTACCGTTCTAGACGCTCTGCTTCTCAAACCCCGTAAGAGCTGTGCTTGTCGATAAAGCAGCAGTGCACTCGCTAAAGTGACAAACTGTAGGGGTCCCTAGGGGAAAGATTTGCCTCTACGGAGTCCTCGGAGCGGATGTCCACGTTTCCCCAATACCTCGCAAAAAAAAAAAAAAAAAAAAACTGTGATGGTTCGCTCTAAATCATTCCTACAGTTTGAGGGGAGAGGATGACTTCTACTCCCCTCCACGGGATTCTACGCAGAAGTCGCGTTCGTGTTGCACTCTTTAGGGTTATCCCACACTCCCTAATGGAAAAGAGCGTCAAGTGCTGGTCGGTGCGTGTTGGAAGTTCTTTGACCGCAAGTGAACGACAACATAGGACAGACTCCACGATTGGATGAAAATTGGATATCATATGCAAATCCACACAGGAAACTGCTATGGATACCAGTGGACGTCAAGCCATAATTCATTTCAAAGCGATGCGCCCGCGACAAAAAAAAGAGATCTCATTCTTCTTCTGCTCCTGCTCCTTTGCTCTTGGTGTGTATACTATGTGATCCTTTGGGAGGGCATGAATGTGACCGCGAGAGCATTCTGCGCGCAACTGCAAAAGACGGTGTTTTGAGCCCTATTTCACACCTATTACAAAAAAGTTACTAGTTGTGATGGACAGACCACATTACGCGAGGACGACGACGTAGGAGTTGAAAACTTGGTATCACTTAGCTACCTCAACCTCCATTCACCTGACCTTCCACCTTGCGACTACTTTTATGCTTTCACAAGCCTACAGGCCTACACTAGAGGGGAAATCTAAAAAAAATCGTCAGGAGCTAAGTGTGCAGAATATGAATGGATTGCGTCACACCACTCCTTTTTCGGGTACTCTAGTTTTAACTATTGAGTTGGAACAATATCGTAGTGTTTGTCTTTGTACGTGTGACATCGGTGTGTTTTCTTGCTGAACATGTGAGGTAATCGAAAGTACTTTTTCTGCTCTACAATACCCTGACTTTCCCTTTCTTTTGCATCATAATTTCATGGCAGCATGCATACACATTAGCCCTTAGAAATTAGAAACACCAGACGGTAGATCTATGTAGTTTTCGACGGCGTTTCTGCTACTCTTAAGATTTCATAAAGACTACGGTTTTCGGTAGGTTTCATCGTACTCATTACATCTTCCTCCTACCAAATTACATATTTCCACCCAATTTTAATCCGCACGTTGTACAAAATCTGAAAAATGAGGACAATGAGAACAAGCACATCATCTTCTTTTTTTTACTCCAAACCCGATGGATTTTGTGAGACGGAATTAAATTCGTAAATAATGACGATAAGAAATCGCTGATTATTTGATTGTTTTTTATGTAATAGACGTTTTAAACATTTGTGTCGAATGCAAGCGCTACACATCATGTTCCTTCCCAACATTTCGTCAACTTGATACTAAATAACAGTACCCTAGCGGCATTTAATATTGTATTTCAAACTCGATCCAAATAAATTTGGGCGAGCTCAAAGTTGCTGTACAGCATCATTTACAGACTCATCGATCAATGATCAAAAAATGGAACATCTGGATGTCTCAGATGGCCTCATAATGGATGGACACTCTTGACAAATTGCCCTACTGTAGTCGAATTATCGAACATCGCTAAAGAAAGGGAACATCTGGTTTTCTCGAGCTAGTCTGATGGATGAACACCTCTGTCAAAGAACTGAAGTACTGTGGAAGAGTTTTCGAGTACTGCGTGATGAAGCGAGAAGCCCCTAAGGACTGAAGCAGGGAAATCATGTCTGTTGAGGGACAGCAAATAGATTATTGTTTATGACATGGCGGATGCATGAAAAAGAGGCTTTTTAGTTTGCGGTCGGAGCTCTATCAGAATTCTAAGTGTTGTATCGAACAAAACGGCACCAAAGCTTACTTCAAGTCTTTCGAAGTCTCTCTTCTATTGGTAAGAAAGTTTAGAGCTTCCTTGTATAATTCAAGAGAGAAAGAAAAAAGAGTTGAAGGAATTCCAGTGTGCGTACATCAAAGGTATATTGGTATGTCACACGATGACTCAATAGGAACACATAAGGGTCCGCTGAGAAGAGAAAGAATGAACGCCAGTAGCACAATACAGCTTAAGCCGTGCTTATTACATCATGAGAAGAAAAGGTACAAATAAGTTGAGGAACATACTGTGGCCTTGATGTGATCCTCCAATCATCGACGACGGTCCAAGTAAGCTGTTCGGTCCGACAATGCTAGATGGACCCATGATAGAGCCAGGGCCCAGTACAGAACCTGGTCCACCATGTTGTCCCAATACAGATCCCGGGCCGCCGTGACCACCTGAAAAAGTTTATAAACACAAAGTTGACATAGTGCCAAGAGGATCTACTCAAGGTCCCTCACCTAATATAGAAGAAGGTCCATGAGCCGGTGTATCCCCACCCAAACCACCCAACACCGAAGGATGAGGGCTGTTCAAGTTCATCGCAGCTGATATTAACCCCTAAATCCAAGAGAGTCCAGAAAATGCAATGCAATAGAACATAATCTTGGAACAACTTTTCGCGATATAAACAGCGATATTCACGTGTCTTTGATAACTTAACACACTGTCAAATACCAATTTATTTGGAGGTAACGACGTGCAACAAAATTTTCAATTACAAGGTAAGAACAATAACAAATAACCATAAGGACAACAAAACAATTGTGACGTAGACTATCGAAGTGTGCGACATGGCTACACAGCCCAAAACTTCTCATAAACTAGATTGAAGGAATTCTCTGGGAAAAGCGATCCGCTTGGTGTTGTGAAGTTTATAGGAACGGCATGCTCTTTGAATTCCTGAAAAAAGTGAACTACAATATTTTTACGAACATACCTCTCAAATAGAATACCATTACTATGAAGCCAATAAACATACCTCATGTTTCCTAGCAAACTTTCCTCTTTTTGGAACCTTCTTTTTCGGCTCGGACTCGTCATCATCTGACCCATCCTAGATAAAAAAAAAACATTTGTACCACTTTACACATGTACAAGTTTTGGATAACATGAATGCTCAGAATGAGTAGTTTTCAAATAGTAACTAGCTAACTAAGAGTAAGCCTACGAGGGGTAGGAAGTCCAGGGAAATAAAATTATTCTCGCATCTTGTGGTATCTCCCCCCCCCCCTAACGCTTAGTCCCAAATGTTTATGATAGAAGTGAGTGCCTGCTGTGGTTTCAAAGGCGTTAGGCTCTCCGATCCACCAAGCACACTCCTCTTTAACTGAACAGACACGCTAGTTGGTTTGACACATCGCGTTCCGAACACTTTTTAGCTGATGAGTGCATGTATCCGCGCGTGGATTGCGCCGCTTGTGCTACTTGGTTTTGAGGTTTTTTATCTACAGCGTACCAAGGCCGTCGCTTTTTTCCATTCGCCGCCACAAGCAGCGCGCTGAGAATTATTTCATTTATATAAAACACATTACAGTGCGTAACAGAAATATGTAGACACCCCGAAATTTTTCTTCTATAGCAGACTTTTGCGTTCTGCGCCATGAGACCGCCACCATTCGATTTCTCATGCAAAGAGCATAGGACCCTTCATTTACCCCCCAAATTACGTGCAGTTCTATTTTTTTATGATGAAGGAAGTTCCCTTTGTAACAAAAGTATGTGGGCACCTCAACTCAGCTAGTCCCGTCTGGGGCGAAAGTTTTGTTCACAACCCAGCATTTTTGTGAAACATATGTGGACACCTTTCAAAAAATAGAAATATTCTCATGATCAAAAACCAGTAGACTTGGCAAACTTCTGTAAGCTCAGATATTCTATTTGACATGTTCTCAACCGATCTAGCGATATCTTTCTCGTCGATCTTTTCTCAACCAGGGCTAGTATATTCTTTCGCTTATTGGCGCAGAGAGATCGAAAAATTCCCTACGTTTTCAATAACGATGTGGTCTGTGAATACGCTGCCAATCTACTTCCCAAACCGTTGCTTTAGAACTTTCCCAAATGAAACACGGGTTATGAACCGAGCGTTTTACGAGGCTAGCTTCTCTAAAAAGATTATAGTCAGGATTCAAGCACCAAACCATCTCCTAATTGTCTATCAGACACGTTAGCAGGCCAAGCTTCAATTTCCCTCTTCTTTCGGAACCACCCAGACTACTGATGAGCCTCCTCCAAAATTTCTCTTCAAGTACATCAGCAAGTCCAACGAAGGTCTCTGCTGCGCATCCACATACAAAGCTTTTCATTTTTTCGGGTCATTTGCTCATTCGATTGAGTGGAATACCAACTGGTCATTTCAACGCGAATATGAATGGCAGGTAAAGGAAAACCTGAGCTAAAAGAGCGTTGACCACCCTCAATAAGTGGCAAGTAGTTAGCATCAATATAGTGGATCCTTCTTTCTACATACGAGGACGTATGACGGGGTTGACGTGCAATTTCTCAATTGGAAGGTTCAACAGTATGACGAGCTCTTACCCGTGCTCGTTCTTCTTTAGAAATTGCTCACCATAAAAAGGCATGATGGCAGAAGGGAAAGTGAAAATAAATTACGTGACCGGTGCAAAACTTGATCTACCTTGAGAAAAACAGAGCCGCTGTCTACATGCATTTGTGACAGGGAATAAATTCCACCAAAAATGGTTTGCTAAACTGCAACAAAATTATTTTCCAAAGGATCATTATAGGTTATCCACCATGACGAGTTCACAGATGGTGCTTTCACGGCAGAAAAAATATCAGTTGACCATTAAAATCCGATTTCAGGGTGCCCACATACTTTTGTTGCGCACTGCATTATATAAGCACCGTACGGGAACGCATTCCAGGAATTCGATTTCTCTTATTAAGCACGCACAAAACGCAAAAATCATCGACCTCTTCCGGTTGCCACTGTACTTCGGGGAGAAGGGATTTATGCAAGACTAGTTTATAAAAATGTATAGCAAAATTTGAAAGCAATAACGCACGGACCAAATGGTGGGGGATAACAGTCGTCTCGATATGATACTGTGGCTCCGACGCTGACTAACGGAAAAAGGAACCGAAGTCAAACAGCTCGATTGAAGCCATTCCCAAGTATCCCTCCTTCTTGCCTTGAAATTAAGGGAAGGGCAGGCTAGACTAAGTTTACGAACGTGCTTGGCTTCACGAGCTTTCATTAACGCCCCCCATCTTAAATTAGCCGCCACGTCATATCCCGTGTGTCTTCAGTGAGACGCTGCACATACGGTAACAACGTTTCGTAAGATCTCGATAGTACGTGCATCAGCGTCATTTTTGTCACGCCTAGCGCCATTGTCGCGCACACCCAAGCCGCCGAAACTGCAAATCTGTGATAGTCGTGGGCAAATCTGTCCCACCCACAGAATAGATTCTTCGACACGACCACGTTTGGAGTTCCTGCTTTAAGTGATTTTGATTACCTCACTAGAAAGGATTCCAGAATTCGATATGTGAATGAACATTTGTGCTAATTACATCTGATCCTTTCCCTACGATCTCCAATAGGAAGATAATCTTTGTGTAGCAAGGCTGTAGGCACACGCGCACGCTTTCGTAGAGTCTATAACCCAAACGATAGCTTACGCTGTGCTCGACTGTATTTCTCTTCTTTCGCTATCTCCTCCACTACCAAAAGGTCGCGCCATCATATTGGAAAACAACTCGTCTTGACATCGAAATCGCACAAATGATTCCATCTAAAAGTCTTTCATCAAAAACCTGCCTTATACATATTCTTTGAAACATTATCGTTAATAAAAGAATACCTGCTGTAGTTTTTTATCAACAAAATTCGCTCTCTTTGCTACATTCGAATGCCAATGTTTTTGAAGACTCTGAAAATATAGCACCCATTATTTTTTCTACGAAGTCGAAGATGAAGGGGAATTATTTACTACAGCTGAAATATGTATTGCACTAAAACATAGCAGCGCGCTAATTGAAGAGCTCAGATCGCTGCTCCTCTGGATGATGTCGCAGCTAGAGATTACCAACAGCTTCCGGCCTACACCGTTGCTCATTAGTAGACAATTGAACAACCGATGAAACAGTGGGGTAATGTCGATCACCTTCATTATATGAAAATTGCACCTTACCCTGATTTCCCACAGAGAACTTCTGACAGCACCACATTCACTGAGCCGAGATTCGTCTTCATTGTAAGGGTCCGAAGGTAATGTTTCTGAATTCGAAGTGATAGGAAGAAAACATCAATTTAAGGATAGGTCCGATCAAAATGAATGCCAATATCCATGGACGAGATAAACCGCTTAAGAATACCTGGCAGTTCACGATGAATAAGCGTGGAAACAATAGGGTGGCGAGTTAGTAGATTTCGTATTAATCCAAGAACTGGTTCTTGAGCATCCAATGGAGCAAGAAGAAGCATACGTGAGAGACGTTTCGCAAATCCAGCAACAACATAGTTAGGAATGTGTCTTGAATATAATTCGATCCAAGCGTAATGCCAACAATGGTTGCGGGTAGCAAATCAATGGTAGAAATCGTGCTGAATTGGCTGCTCCAAGCGCATATTCACTGATTCAGGCGCGAGCGCTTGGCGCATCATGTCTACTGGTAATTATTAAAAAAGTCCTCTTACACGTAAAAAGGAGCAATTATCATTCAAAGCTGAGCAAGACACAAGTGCTCTGAAATGGGAGGCAATAATACTTAAGCACGCATAAATAAACTTACGTGGACGAAAGGAAATTTATCAAGAAGTGTTATAAACTTTTCTTTTGATCCAAATACAAAACTGAAGCTTGGTAGAGTAATAACTGATCATAGGGAAGTTAGGATATTCACTTGAAAAAAAAAAAAAACGAAATGTGCATTTTGAAGGCCAGCCATCCATAAGTTTGATACTCACAAGTTATGAGATACAATAAGTTTGAAAATGGCCGCCAAGGAAAGGATCGCAAACAAATCTCCTTTATCGAACGCCTGCAAGGAAACAATTAGCAAGCTAACTATCGCTACCCAAATAATTTTGACGACATGATCACCTTGAAGAAGAAATCCGCTGTTTTGTGAGGTTCATCAAGCTTGTCTAGAACATTATCTGTTATATACGGTATCATGATGATAAGGACTTTAGGAGGGACCTGCAAAAAAAAACATGAAACTTTTATATACAGAAGAGCAGTAAAGAGAAACGCATAATGCTGACGGATAACTCACGGAACACATCATTAAACCGATCCAAGCGTCCTGGAAAATTTTGACTAGTTTCTTCTTCCTATGTCTTTTTAAAGGATGGTCTAAACACTTGATATGAAGTAAAGTTTAGAAACCAAAAAGTCAATTGTAGATATTCCAAGAAATCGCAGGACAAAAGACTGACTTGTTACGCTGAACATCCGTGGCGTGACCGATGTTTGTGGATCGGGAACGAATTTAAGGAAATGAAAAACGTTGAACCATGTAGAGAGAGAATCAGTTCGAAAGTGCTGGAATAAAATGAAATATGTCGCATAGATGGGGAGCAATAGTAAAGAGGTCGTGGGAATGGATGAACAAAGAAGAAAAGGTCAACCAGATCTGCATAAAGTTTTGAAATGAAACGCAATCCGAATGCGACGAACTAGCGAACGCATTCGAAATGCGATGAAATAGCGTCAACACAGCTTGCTAACAAAACTATTTTCACAAGAAAGGTGGAAAGAATCAACCAGAATGGCACCACGATTGGTTGCGCAAGCAAAAAAAAATGTTGTGAAGAAAATGCAGAGGGTATATTATCCATGCCATCTCGAAGCGGATACCGTGACATGGTCATGAACCTTGTCCGAAACATGCCCGAGTAATAAAGAGCCCATGGCTGTAGCACATTCCACAGTGCTCGGACATGCCTCAAATTGTCCATGAATAGAAATCTGTTCTGAGCTTCTTGTCACAATCAACAACACATAACAAGAATACTACTCCGGGAAAAACTTTCATTTAAGTGGGAATTAGATGGAATCGGAAGAATAACTCCTCAAAAGTTATACCTTTTTTGCGAACGCCAGAAATTCACGGTATCTTAACCAGCAACTGATCCGGTAGAATACGACAAATTTCGAAGAGCAGATCACAACATGCGAAAACTTTACGAGTCAGATTCCTCATAACTTTAGTAGCGATCTTAGTGCCACAGTCAAGGAAAAAGCAGAAACCCTGAAAAAAAGGGTGTTACATATGAGATACATCCGATGGAATATGGAAAGTACCCCGTGCAAATGTTTCACAAACCTGAATGAGATCTTTAAATGATTTGGTGGTTACAATTCTGCCAGTAAGTCGACACCTCTCATATGGCTTCATTTTACGTATTTGCTCACAAAGATCCTATAACACTCCTACAAATTGTGTATTCAAGCGGAAATTAGTCAACTGAATTCAAAAACTGAGAAGAACACTTGAACTATACTCGATATCGGTGAGTGTTGGGGTGGGCGTGTCACCGGAAGTGACGTGCACTTGATAGAAACTATGTGGATAAGCTGCTTCCAACATACATCGCTGGCTATCAGCAAAGCATGCTGGCAACAGCTTATCCACGCACTTCTATCAAGTGCACGTCACTTCCGGTGACACACCCACCCCAACTTTCGGATATCGACTGTAATAAAATAGTCAGACAAGTTGTTCGTCATTTTTTCCACTACGGCATGAAAAATAAAAAAAATGGCATGCTCAAATAATGAAATGAAGACTGTAAGTAGTTTTGCTGTTGTTTTCCAAATACCCGATAGCAATATGACCCGCAAATATAAAATAAAAACAAACAGCTGGTTCAACTTCACTTCAGCAAACTCAGCCTTCATCAGGATTATTTTCCACTCATGCCAGCTGCGAGGCGGTTCCTCCCTGTCGAGTTCATATTCGCCATCTCCGTTCACTTCTCCTGTTTCTTCGCCATTTCCGCTTGCTATGCCTTCATTTTCAGTGTCGCTGTTCCGGTTCGGTGCACCCATCCTGGGCAACGTAAGAAGTACATGAAATCTGAAGGACGAAAATGGGACCAACGGTGTAGCTACAGGTATATTTACTGTTTCAAAACGAAGGTTGAGGAAGCTCTGTTCTCATCAAATTCACGATTCTGTGAAGTTCTCCAATAGATTCGATATGAAAGATGAAACAAAAATGCTGTGAAAAGTAATGGGTTCATTGAAAGGAGGAAGAGCCAGACAGCACGACCCTGCTCAAAATTATGAGAAGTGATCAATTTTGACTTGTTTTGTTTGTCTCATTTGGTGGTTGCTGTTCGCGTAGGCTCGCGTAGCGAAGAGCCATAACATATGCTGGTGTGGGCAGAAACACTTCATCCAGCGGATGATCCCGCTTCTGAGGCCGCTTTCACAGTCGGTCCCCCGATACGTATTGATTCTTCGATCGTCCGACACGTCCAACGATCAATGCGTATCGTATAAGCTGTGGATGGTAACGACCGGACGACCGACTACATAAGCGTCCTGAGAGCGAGTTTTGCCCACAACTCAGCATTCTTGTGAAACTATGGCAAGCATCTTCTCGTTCAGGACCAAGCACTAAAGAATAGAATGGACTAAAAAATATATAAGCACGATAAGATGCTGTGGAACTCAAGACTAATGAATCAACCATGTCTGACAAGGGGATGCCTTACGCGGAAGCCGCTGCCTGCCGTTCGAATAGTTCCTGCATATATGTGGACCACACCATTGAACGACCAAACTATGGTTTCGTTTGCGCTGGACGGTTTTATTAGTACCAAAAAAGTAATAAATGCTAATCTCAATGGTTCACTTCCTCCGCGGCTGCAAAATTTTGTATTCAAGGTTGGCGGCTACTTTTCGGTATGGTCCTAACCATGACTATGATATATAATTTTGGCATTTAGCACCTTTCGGCACCAACCCGTACTCGAATACCCAAATGCAAATTAGTCACCACGTAGGATCGAACCATTGACAAGAGCTTGCACTGATTTTTTGTACTGCTAAAACCTTTCAGCGAAAATGAAACATGGTTTTCTGCTCTCTACAAGGGTTTTTGCAATATGCAGGAAGCCCTTTTGAAATAGCGCGCCTCGCTCTAAAGACCTCCTGAGCTTCGCAGCCATAGCTGAGTCACACTTGGTTCACTTTATTTCCCTCTCCTAGAATTTATATATTGGGAAAGTTTCTGTCACCTGTGGGATTCAGTGTATAGTACTTAAGGGGGTGTTCTAAAATTAAACGGCGCTTTTCACACCTTTCGCGTTTTTCACGCATTCCGCACTTTCGATGAGAGAGCAAAGTATGAGAGCTTTTAGTGGGCGATTCAATTCCGCCTTTCGATGAGAGAGCAAAGTATGAGAGCTCTTTCGTGCGACTTCAATTCCGCCTTTCGATGATAGAGAGCAAAGCTATTGGAGAGTCTTTAGTGGGCAGAGGCGGCGCAGGTTTTGGATGCCCTCAGAGCGAGCGAACTCTTGAAAATTTCGGCCTGGAGCCCACCATGTTCTACATTAGGAGACGTTCTAAACTTTATTGTGAAAGGATCGAAAAAAAAAGTGATCGCACCCATGACCGACAGACTGCAACAATTTGACTTCTGATTTTTTTATGATCCCGTCGTTAGAAAAATTTGAAGGCAGGGCATTGATTAAAAAGGTAGATCGAGGCTTTCTGACCCATAATATACGCTTCTAAAATAACGAAAATGCCTTGATACGAAAGAGCGAAAACTGTACCTCGCTAGACTGTTTCTCCAAAGTGTTTTCAACGTCCTCTGCCTCGTCGTCACTAATGTTCCCATTGTTGTCCATACTCTCTCCAGCAGTACCGTTGACAGCAGCCATGCTTCCTCTGAGAATCCAGGTCAATCATCAGCACCAGTAAATATGCCTGCAATGGCCGATGTCAGACTTTGCGATTGGAGCGATTGTGCACAAATTGCAGGAGCGACGGATCGCTTGAGCGATCCATCGCTGCGAGCGACGGGAGATTTACACGGCCGACCAACGATAATTCGGCGTCATCAGCTCGTAAATGTCCCGTCGCTCGCACTGCGAGCGACGCGAGATTTACACCGCCAACCACCGATAATTCGGCGCCACCAGCTCGTAAATCTCCCGTCGCTCGCACTTTGGAGCGATGGATCGCTTGAGCGATCCATCGCTCGGGCCGTGATAAGTGCCTTGGCCGTTGTGGCAGGGGGGGTGGCGCGCGACCGCGGGACACTTTCCGAGGCGGGGGGGCCGGCCGATATATGTTGGTCGGGCCATGTTATCTCCCGTCGCTCTGCAGCGATGGAATCGCTCAGAGCGATCAATCGCTCAAGCGACATCGGCCAATAGGTTGAAATCCTCACATCATTCAAAATACACATCGACGTATTCTTATTTCGAATATACAGAACCGGAAACATAGTCCTATGCCTAGGCCCAGAGGATTGAATCAGAGGAGGGGGATATATCCCCCTGGGGGAAGGATTGAATACCGCCCCTGGAGACGACTCAACTAGAAAAAACCCTTTGAAAAGAGGGGTTACACCGGTACAAAGCGTCCAACGCGCTTGAAGTCGCGAAGAGCACTACTTTTGTGTGAGAGTTTAAGGTGGATCGGACGTATTGATACATATTTAATGCTGAGCGATGTTAAGACCTGACGACTGACTATGAAGACGCCACACGGGGGATGAATACTACGGAGTGCGTAGGCATTTTCAGCCTTCCCTGGAGTGTACATAGCCTCCTAGGTCTAGTCTGCTGTTTACTAGCTACATATTACTTTTTCTTAGCTCTTACATCATCTAGCACAGAAACACGTTCAAAAAAGCGAAGAAATAGCGTAGCAATGAGTACACTAGCAATCCGCAGTTAAAGGTCTCGTAGACCAAAACTGTGATTAGAGCAGTTTCATGCAGAGCAGCTTCCCTCATTGGAATAGATCTACTGCTTACTTTGAATTGTAAAAACGTTTTCGAGCTGAGCTATAAAATTCATCGGCGCAAAACAGCAATGACTTTTGAGTCGAATAGGACGAATTTAGATGAATCAAGGCGCAATGTGCCTCCGGGGGGGGGGGACAGTTTGTCGGAAGGCCAGGACTAATCTAAGCCTAACGCAGAGGGACGAATTCCGGAGCGAATGAAAATTGCTTACGCAGCTTCGGATTCCCTCTTTTCCTCCGTTAGTCCCAAAACTGAAAGTTTTCGTGAACCTGACGCAATGTTACAGGCTGCCCCCTCCCCGGAGCCACCCACATTGCGCCCGTATCGACCCGCAAATCCATGGACCGATGTCAGAAGATATAACGGCAAGAAGAATGTAAGTGATTAGTGGTCAGAAAAATGAAAGCACCGATAGGGAAGTTGAGAAGGATTCTTCAAAAGAAGAAGATTTGAGGTAGGATTATCTGGGACACTATCCAGCATTTTCCAACGCTTCTCCGGCAGTTTCTTCATAATTTTTTCCGGGTCTCATCCAGTAAGGGGGCATGCGGTGCGACAGCTCATATTGCGTAAAGTAATCCACTTTTTTCTAGGGAGGGAAGCCCGGGGTGGGTGCAAAAGTTTAAGCCACCGGAGATTCCCGCCATGCAAAAATTGGAAGAAAAAATCAACATCATCAGTAACGGCGGAAGATCGATGGGATATATGAAAAGTGAGAAGGACAATAGGGAACGTTTCCAACTGCGTAATGACTGGATTGAATTCACGTTTGCAATCAAATCAGAAAACGAAAAACGTTGGACGAATTTGCGTCGCAAGGACGAGTTTGCCTCGGTTCTGTAGCGCAGTAGTTTAATTTTTAAAAGTTTGGCTGACTATTTCACATTTCTTTTGGACGAATTTATTCATATTTGTTGTCAACTGATTACTCTTTATTCAGTTATGGCAACTCTGAAAGACCTTGGTTATCATTTCAACGACAAAGGGGAACTGAGAAAAATAGAGGTGCGAAGGTTTTATGAACTTCGAATATTTATCACGACACGACTTTTACCAAGTGCGGCGACGGCTACGTCAAATCCATAGACACACTTAGTCAAACTTCGAGATATGGGCTATAATGTATTGTAACTTTACACACGACATGACTCCACTTTTAGAACAGTAGTTTTTTGGCCCTATAAGGGATAGGAGACGGTCCTGCCGCGGATCTCTGACAGCAGTTCACTAGGGTTTAATGAACCACATCCCTCTGACTGACATTTGACAAACATGCCCTTATCCTATTATGAATTCATCTACATTTAGAAAGACCATTCAGGATGGAAGCCGCTTCGTCTTTACAAATCAAGCGGATTACGTACGAGTTGGTGATGCGATGACGAGGGAACTGTACAATATACTCGAGAACCAGTGTGGTCTGCAAAGAATGGATATCCCAGTGAGTACTGGTAATTTTTGAAACACTCCTCAAAAATATAAACACGAAACATTGGTTGTTTCTGGGACATATACTCTCCATGGGATTGCGCCAGGGTCCATGTCAAACATTTGGAGAGATAAGGCTCATTCTAACCTCCCCTTCAAAAAGCGAGAAAGTGTTGGGTGCAGACCAAACACCACAACTGACGACGGCCTCCAAGTAAAACTACATTTTGTGAAGGCGTCGTCACTTGTGGTGCATGGTCTGCATTCGACACTTCCTCGCTTTTTGAGGTCTCAGGACTTCTGTCAACCACGAGCTTGGTTGTTCAGCGTTTTGTAGTGGCGTCTGGAAGCGCTCACACGTGCACACTATCACAACATCTCTGCTGGCACTATTCCACTATTACTGCCCCAAAATCTCAAAGTTTCATTTTTCGTCGAAACTTTGCCTATTGGGGTAATTCGATGCCCTGATTACGAATATGACATTCATTTTTGATGCTGGTGTCATTTGGCGCCATTTGGCGCCACGGCTGTTTTCACCAAATCCGCTGAAAACTTGTATATAGGGGTTATTTGGGGTCCTGATTACGAATATGACATTCATTTTTGATGCTGACGCCATTTGGCCGCGTTCGGTGCCACGGCTGTTTTCACCAAATCCGCTGAAAACTTGTGTGTAGGGGTTAGGGGTATCAGCGCAGCCCAACTATGTGTTAGGATAATTTAGTTTTGGGACTAAGCCTCAGGGAACGAGAAAGCACTTCGGGGATGGGTTATCAATTTTTATTTTCCACAAATTCCTCTCCCTCTGAGGCTAAGTCCTAATTACCGTTGTCGCATCGCAGCCGCCGCGAGCCTCGCCTCGCAATACGCTTTCTGCCGCAGCTGCGTCATATACAACATGGCCGGCGGCGCCACCACGAGTGTTCAAAAGTCATAATCCACATTGACCCCAAATAAGCCCAAATAACGAAGTTTCAGCAGATTTGGTGAAAACAGCAGCGGCGCCAGCATCAAAAATGAATATCATATTCGTAATCAGGGCATTCGAATTACCCCAATAGGCAAAGCTTCGACTAAAAATCAAATCCTGAGATTTTGGGCAGTAATAGTGGTAGTGCCTCTCTGCTTTCTTTATCTCCTTCAAAAAGATTAGTCCCAATAAGACACAAAGTGTGTGCTTTCCCACCTACGCTCTCACCCTTTGGTTGAAAGAAGCCTTGTAACCGCTTTCTGAACGTAGGTCGGCACTATCGGTCGTGGTCGTTGTGCCACAATTTACGGTAACCACCGCAGGCGTGACCGTAATAATATTGGACTATGTTTGAGAGCGCGGAAGGCCCAGTCCTTTGCTGCGTGTATGGAACAAATTATCCGTTTTTTTTATCGCGCTCCAGTGGGTGGGATGGCCGGGTTTTTCTCTGCTTTGACGATGGAGACGCCGTCCAATTCAGGAAGCAACAATTTTCTTTGTTTATATACTTCAGTTAGTATACTTGTGCTTTACCATTGTCTTTTTTATAGCTGTATAGATTTCTCATGATTTATTCTACGTTCACGGCCCTGTTACCTGGCAAGTTGTGCACTGCCTGTACTACTATACAGGTCACAAATTCAACCGACAGTTATTCCAATGACCTTATCAGTGACCTTTCCTAGAAGTACAGTGAATCCTTCACTGTAGTTTTAGGGAAGGTCACTAATAATGTCCTAGGGAGGGTTCGTGTGTCCTCGGGCATCCTTAGGCCGATGTCAGACTTTGCGAATCGCGCGATTCGCTAGCGCCTGCGGTCGCGTCGCGGCCAGTGAATCAGTTAATTGGCTAGTACCGCAACGCCACCGCGAGCGCTAGGAATCGCGCGAATCGCTAGTAGCGAATCGCGCGAATCGCTCGCTACGCGTCGTGCGATTTCCAAACTCTGACATCGCCTTATACGAGCAAGTTATACAGTTGTTTTTGTCTGTAGCTTTTTCCTTTGGCTAATGCAAAGCTGTCACTTATGGAGTACTACAGGTCAAAGTCGAAGACGGTCATGGTGATTGTGGAGAGTACAATGGTTTTGTTTACGCCTCACCGGGATTCCAGAACATGACGACTGTTCTGCTGATAATCCATGGCGTAGGATGTCGTATCGGGCCTGGGCAGTGGTCAAGAAGGTGTGCTGATGCTCTCTGTCTTTTACCTTTCACATAAGGTTGTTTTCAGATTGATACTCAACGAAAATCTGGAAACTGGTTCACAGATTCCTTACATTCAGCGTGCCATAAAGGATGGCTGGGGTGTTATTGTTTGCAGTACAAATACAGACGAAGAGGTGGGGTTTATTTTATTACAATAAGAGCAGTGTGGGTTGGTTTTATGTAAGCGAATTCATTGTAGTCTAAGCTAGTACTACGCAGACGATGTTAGGGGGTGCGTTATTTCCTGCCGCCCTCTGTGTCTTTAGACTCCAGACAGCGCCATCTAGGCCGGACGCATAGTCGGTCGACGACAGCAACGACCGCAAGTGTCGCATAAACCGCGGTTGCAAATGGAAGGCGACGCGGTAAGTGTCGTAGATCAATACGCAGCTACTATTCCACACTACAGTGGGACTTTCGAAATACGATCACGCGCAGTCACGTGTTGTCTGGGTTAGCATTGGGTGACCGCGTCGCCTTCCATTTGCAACCGCGGTTTATGCGACACTTGCGGTCGTTGCTGTCGTCCGACCGACTATGCGTCCGGCCAGATGTAAGAGTA